AGGCTTTCCAGTGCTGTCTGAAGGTCCTTGTTCCTAGAAAACAGAGAGTGGGACACAGGCTCTTCAAACAAGAGGCTTGATTGTGTATAAGTGCAGCAGCCAGAAGGTCTGGGAAGACATGGAGACAGGATTTGTCTCCTGCCCATGCCTCTAGCAGTAGGCAGCAGTTGTGTTCTGGCTGCAGGATGGCCTTAGTGTCTTGCATCCAGGTCAAGTTCAGTTGGAAATGACCTTTTCTTTGTGTCCAAGCTCTTTGTCTGTCCTCATGAAACTGCTTTGGTTGTGTTGGGACTAGTGCAATCTGGAAAAATCCTGTGAGGGCCAACTGTGGGCTCAGGTTTTGTCTAACTCAGTCATTCGTTAGTTGCTGCTTAAACCAGTTTAGCTTTGAGCTGAACTGGTTTAAGCATCCACACAAAGCACCTGCACTGGTTTATCTGTGCTTGCTGGGCAGAGGACATGTCCAGCTGCAGCTCAGGGAGTCATGACCCTTACATGAATATGGCAAATGAATTGGTGGCAGATACTCTTAAAGCTTGGGAATGGCTGGAAACAGCAGGGAGACACTTGTGGAAGTGGCTTGAGCTCTGAGTGGTGGTGGTGGAGTTCAGAATGTCCAGGAGATGGCACAGAGGGGTGGGATGGGTTTTTTTCCAACTGTCCACAGTTTCTGTAGAAGAAATTGCCACAAATGTTTGTGTTGGTGGCTGAGGCCACTCAGCCTCCACCAGTCTGAGGGACAGTTTCCACTGCCTGGACCCCACCAGGACGTGGTGAGCACAGGGGCAGGGACTGAGGCATTTGTGCTGCCCCATGTGTCTTTCTTGGCAGCACCAACGTACTGATGGGTCAAAAGACTTTAAAAGAGCAGCCAGAAGGGTATTCCAAGTCTGGGAGTGCTGCTCTGTGCTGTATTCCAAGGCTGGGAGTGCTGCTTAGTGCTGAGGAAAGGCTCAGGTCTCTGATTGCACCTCTCTGGCTGAGGGAGAGGTGAGTAGTTCCTGTGAGCATTCACCCAGGGGCAAATTGTTCCCTATGGAGTAATTAGGAATAATGGGATAAGAAAAAACAAAAAGACACTAAAGGCAGATTCTGGGAAACCTCTTCAGGGAGGAGAAGCCTGTTCCTCTGGGAGGAGTCTGTAGGGGAATGGTTTTTGAGCCCTCGCGTTGACTACAGGGCTGCAGAGCTCCATGGAGCTAACTCTGAGCATGAGGCTGCTCTGGGCCTTGCCAAGAGGAAAGGGACTCAGTGTAGGGACTGCCCAGAAGGCCCAGGAGCGTTCACAGAGCAGCTTTCTCCCTGTCCACTGGTGTTAAACCCTTCCCAGCACTGCAGTATATCCGTCCCCCAGGTCCCATCAAGGAGGCAGGTGCCAGAGGGAAAACAGTCAAGGAGCAAATGCCTTGTCAGCCCTTAAACTGCTGAGGTGGAGACTCAGTGGTGGAGAGTGTTCAATGTTTGCTGCTTCTGCTGGGCATGTTCTGTGCTCCATTGGGAATGTCCAGAACCATCAGTTGAGCCCCAGTGTCCTGTGTCAGGTGTCTCTGGAGCTGTCACTCCGTAGCAATAAGGACTCCCTTTTCCCAGTGTGTGGGACCTCTTCCCATGCCATGGGACATCACCTTCCTGGGGCTTCTGGAAGTGTCACTGAGCAAACACCAAAGCCCAGCACAGCTCCATGTGGAATGTCAGGCCTGGGGGAGAGGCTGCTTAACTAGGCCAGGAATGGTGAACCAATGAGAGTGGACTGGCCTGGAATTTCGTGTTATTTGTTGAATGTTTGCAGGATTTCTGTTTTGTTTCGGGGTTTGTTTGGCTGCTTAGTTGGGCTTTTACTCCTCCTGTTGGAGTCCTTTGGTTGTAACTTGACTTTACTCACATAAACTTTTGGAGGTTTCCTCATCCATAGGCAGCCAAGTTGGAATTCTTTGGCATCTTCTGAAACAAGGCTCTAAGTGGCTCATTGATGCACAACATCAGCACTGGCTGGCAGGATTGTCTCCTTCCTGCCCTGTGGCATCACTGACAGTGGGACCTGGGTGAGTAGCACAGCCTTAACCATAGGAAGATGTTAGGGTGGAGTTGGTGAGCACAGGCATGTCTGACCCTTGCTTCTTAACCAAAGTTCCTTAAAGAGACACTTCCAGCCTCATCAGCCTGGAATCCTTGAATCTTCTGGAGGTTCTCACTGCAGTCTCTGCAGTTGCTGTGCACAGGGTGGGATTTTCTTTCCAGTGGGATGGTGGGTGGAGGAGAGATTATTGTTGCTGTCTATGGAGAAGGACTTTTCCCCTCAAGAAAGGAGATCTGTATTCTGGAAGGAGCCACACTCTTAGGGGCTGTTTTCCATGATCCCTTGAAACCTCTTGGGACATTAATATTATTTTTTTTAATTATGTAAAAGCAAAAATGCTACTGGATGAACTGAACCATTGGTGACAGGTGACTAGCTGAGGCTGGAAGTCCTCACTCAGGCCATGAGGATTGCAGTCCACACTGTAGCCAGACAGTGTTGTGGTGGCAGACACAGTGTCATGGTGACACCCAGTGTCATGGTGACAAACCCAGTGTCATGGTGACACCCAGTGTCAAACCCAACCATCAGGAGATCCTTGTTTGCAGCCAGTCTGAAAGAGAAGCTGTTCCTCACTTGTACCTTTGTTGTTCCAAACCTCCTCTTGGGAGCTCAATTCTCCTTGTTCCATCAACGTTAACATCCTCCTGTCCCTCCTGTCCCTCCCTCTCATCAGTAACTCCCTCTCTTCTGTGGATGCAGGTGTTCCAAAAATTCCTCTTGGGAGCTCAGTTCTGGTTGTTCCATCAAGCCTAACGTTCTGTCCTTCCTCACCTCCTATGAGTTGTCATGGTGACAAACCCACTGTCATGGTGACACCCGGTGTCATGATAACAAACCCAATGTCATGGTGACATCCGCTGTCAAACCCAACCATCAGGAGATCCTTGTTTGCAGCCAGTCTGAAAGAGAAGCTGTTCCTCACTCATACCTTCATTGTTCCAAACCTCCTCTTGGGAGCTCAGTTCTTGTTGTTCCATCAAAGTTAATGTTCTCCTGTCCGTCCTCACCTTCTCTAAGTCCTCACTCAGGCTATGAGGATTCTGGTCCATGCCATAGCCAGACAGTATTGCAGTGACAAAACCAATGTCATGGTGACAAACCCAACATCATGGTGACACCTTGTGTCATGGCGACACCCGATGTCATGGTGACAAGCCCAGTATCATGGTGACAAACCCAATGGCATGGTGACAAACCCAATGTCGTGGTGACACCCAGTGTCATGGTGACACCCAGTGTCAAACCCAACCATCAGGAGATCCTTGTTTGCAGCCAGTCTGAAAGATAAGCTGTTCCTCACTTGTACCTTTGTTGTCCCAAACCTCCTCTTGGGAGCTCAATTCTCGTTGTTCCATCAAGGTTAACGTTCTCCTGTCCCTCCTGTCCCTCCCTCCCTCAGTGCCCCCTCCCTTCTGTAGACGCAGATGTTGTAGGCAATACCACGGCCGCACTCCGTGCGCCACTCTCACATCATCTTAAAGAAAAGACAAAAAAAAAAATAGACAAAAAATAGACAAAAAAAAAAATTAATAAAAATATCTTTTTTAGGCCAGAGTTTTCTACAGGTATTAATGAATATTTTTCTTAATCCTTATAAGTTTTATGTGTTTAATATTTCTTAATACCGGTAGCATTAATTTATACTTTTGTAGCAACACACTATTTTTATAAACCGCCACCGCTGGCTTTGTCTTCATAGCGGGGAAGTGTGGGGGCAGCGCCCCGCGCTCGACCATGTACTGTATTTCAGAGGTTATCTAATGTCACACTTGCTGTGTTAATAAACAAAACAAAACCTGTTTCAAGTCTCATTGTATTGTTGGTGTGGCTCAAACGACTCACTAGAGAGCAATATTGCACGGGGTTGAGTTGCTGATTTGCTGATTTTTCATTGTGATAATACAAAGAGTTTGAGGCCAACTCAAGTTTTTGAGGTGTTTTTGTTGGTTTCTTTTTTTTGGGTTTGGTTTGGTTTTTTTTTTTTTGGTTTTTTTTTTTTTTTTGACAGCCAAGGAAATTCAGTGCTGTTTGAAACTTAGACTGACGTCAGATGCAAAGGGTTCTTCAAGGATATCAAAATCTCAAAGGTGTTTCAATGTTGCTGTTTTTACAAGTCTGTTGCTGTCTGAATGGAAGTATTCCACGAGAGAGGAGGAATAGTTCCACTTAGCTTCCAAACGGGGCCGAGGCTCCAGGCCAGAACTCGGCTGTTTGGGAATACCTTAGAGACATGTTTCTGCAACATTCTTTTCAGAGTTGATGCCAAGGCAGAAGACAAACTGTAACTGTAAGAAAGCATCCGTTGCTTGAGGATTTTCATGTCAGTGTTGTATTTATGGTTTTACAATAAAACAACCTTTAGGAAAAAAGGTGTCTGAGGGTTTCTGTTTTTCAAATATGTCACTGGGACACCTCAGTGCTGATGTCCTGTTGGAAGGAGGGAAGATGTCTATGGAAGTGACCTGGATCACAGCATTGGTCTCTGATGGATCTCAAGGAATCATGGAATGGGTTGGGTTGGGAAGGACCTTAAAGCTCATCTCATTCCACCCCCTGCCATGGGCATGGACACCTTCCACCAGCCCAGGTTGCTCCAAGCCCCATCCAACCTGGCCTGGAACACTCCCAGGGATGGAGCAGCCACAGCTTCTCTGGGCAACCTGTGGCAGTGCCTCAGCACCTCACAGCGAAGAATTCCCAATATCCCATATAACCCTACTCGCTGTCACACTGAAGCCAATCCCCCTTGTCCTGTCACTCCTTGCCCCTGTAAATAATCTCTATCTTTGCTTGCCCACAAGTGCTTTGCTCCCACAGATATCTGAGCTCACATGGGCAACTGTTCTCCCTTCTCACACCTCCCAGCCACCAAGCTCCAGGAAACCAAAGCCCTTTGGCTGCTCTTCTGCAGAGACCTCACATGCACACACTCTGCCCTCAGGATGAACTTGGCTGGTATGTTCTTCTGGTAGCAGATTTTGTGCACAGTGTTCTGCAGGAGAGGCTCCAGGGGAGTCACTGTGTGCAGGATGATCCCATGGCCCAGGTCAAGATTAGGTAGACCAGCCCTGGCCCCACCTGCAGAGCAACAGAGCATCCTCAGAGAACAGCCCTAGTTGTCCAGACCTCTGGTACAGCAACTCCCACAACCTGAGACCTGCTGGAAATGCCTCCTGGGCTGAGCTCAAGTCTCTACCCTGTCTTTTCATCAGCTCATAGGCATAAAGTCAAGCTGTGCCTCAGGGCTATGAGTCACAAACTTTGCCAGCTGTTATCACTCTCCAGCCAGGGTTAGATTAGATATTGGGAAGAAATTCTTTATGAGAGTGGTGAGACACTGCTACAAGTTGCCCAGAGAAGCTGTGGCTGCTCCACCTCTGGCAGTGTTCAAGGCCAGGTTGGATAGGGCTTGAAGAAACCTTGGCTGGTCAAGGTGTCCCTGCTCAAAGCAGAAAGTGGAACTGGATGATCTTTAAGGTTCCTTCCAACACAAACCTGTCTGTGACTGGTCCTGAAGAGAAGATTGTGTGGAGACCTCAGAGCAACCTGCCAGGAGCTGAAGGGGCTCCAGGGAAGCTGCAGAGGGACTCTTGGTTAGGAACTGCAGGGATAGGACAAGGAGGAATGGGGAGAAATTGAAAGAGGGAAATTTAGATGAGATCTTAGGCAGAAGTTTTTCCCTGTGAGGGTGGTGAGACACTGGCCCAGGTTGCCCAGGGAGGCTGTGGCTGCCCCAGCCCTGGCAGTGTT